AACAATCAATTATAAGAAAGATGAAATTAATTATTTCAAATTGGTTAGCTTATTTTCATGAGAGGTTAGAATTGAATACGCTGCTTTATCTCACGGTGTTTATAAAGCTGTTCTGTGTCCTCAGCTTTAGGTAAAGCACTAAAATTCCTCTAAATTCTAAAAACAGATTGCCTGGACCAGTGCTCCATGTCACACGCAGATAATTTTTGCTTCTTTCCTCTGCATTTTTAGAGGTGATTACGATTTTTAGAAGACCTGAGCCATGAGACTCCCAATACAGCCAAGATGACAGGCACATAGAGAGTTATGAGCAAACTGGAAGGGCTACATTATAAAATACTCCTGCCTGCTCTTAAACCAGAGCAAAGGATTTAACTTTCAAGGTCTGAATTTGAATGCCTGCCCTATATAACATTTAAGTGTCTTTCACATAGTCATCAGCTGGGACTTAAATGAAAAATGGGTGTAAGCACATGTTTATTTTGTAACTCCGGATCATCTCATGCACTAGGAAATAGGTTATTTCCATTTAAACTACTGCATACAAAATCAGTTTTCAAATCTAAATCCTATGAGCTGTATTCTGACCGTCAGCGTGAATTTGCTTTCCCAGTGTATGCCTTTAACTGCCCCGTGCTCAGAGAATGACGCATCCAGCATCATCCCACGCGGAGGCTGGAGCTCTTGCAGGTACGCACGGCTCCAGCCAGCCTTCGGGCCAACTTGCATCTATACTCGGGATCTCCCCGGAGGAAAGAGCGCTGCGTACGCTTCGGGCTGCTTTGCCACTCAACTGTTGTTACATGATGAAAATTCATCACCAAAGAGGCTTGGTTTTAACCTTCGCCCTGGCCCTATCATTTCAAGTACTTATGGCAAGTGATGTAACGCACGAAGCAGAAACAGGGTTTGTTTCTGTGCAACTAACACAAGCGTGAATTGGATGAACTTGAGGACTTGTTTCACGAATTTTCAGGAAAAGACCACGATACCATTCAGAAATAAGACTAATTCTAGTGCAAAGAGAAGACAAAACCAAAGCTCACATTACAACCGCACACAAGCCTTAACAACATTTTCCAATTGCAATCCTAACTCCTGCTAAGCAAGGTGCAATACTAAGGGAGAGTACCAAGATTACAGGCTGTTGTACACCACACGCGTTTTGTGTAAAAAAACAGCAGTAGCATCCACTTCTGGAGGACAGGACAAGTTCAAGGCACGGTATATGAAGTGGGGAGATATGGCAAAAAAAGGAGACGATGCTGGGAACTATGCTTGCAAAAGAAATAATATTTTCTATTCTGTGAAGCTGTACATTAGAGAATATATGGAGGTATTAGTTACACTCAACCAAGAATTAAGGAGTCACTGCTGTGCATTGTTAACTAGTTACCCATCTTCCCAGAAATATTTAGACTTAAATGATGCTAACGCTTTCACATGGAGTTAAGGTGATCATTCTTTGAACTCCAAGTGTTAGCAAACTGTTATTTAAAATATTCATATCAAAGTAAAACAACATATCAACTGTAATCACTGTTAAATCGGTATGGTGCAAACAGTTCAATGCGTACAGCGCTGCCGGAACAGCGATGTTTAAAGTACAGCTTACAGCATGTAGGGTCTTGGATGTTTATTTGCATTTTTATCACTCAGGAATGTGGGCGTAGCTCTTTCCACACCCGCTGCAACAACACTTTCCATTACTAACTTCCTAACAGCTGTTTAGAAATAGCTGGTGCTGTATCATTTTGTGTTTGGTTTGAGGCTGTCTTCCTCAGCCTGCAATCCTCATTGAATAGCAAACATTTTTGCTTCCAATAGTCAAGGAAAGTTTTATAATAGGGTAAGCTGAAGAAATAACTCTTAAACTATTACTAACATCAAAAGATTGTTTTCACTATAGCTAACCATGCCTCGTGGATTGGTTAGACATAAGCGTTCTATTTATTCTTAAACAATTTGAAGTACAAATTATACCAAAGAGAACAACAGGATTTTTACTGAACAAGATAAGTTGAATTTAAGATATATGAAAAGCTGTAGAAATTTTAGCATAATATTGCAAAATTAAAAAAAAAAACCTGAAGTAATTTAGTCTATTAAAAAAATACATCTCCAAACATATTTGAATATTATTTATAAATTAGGATTTTAAGGACCACAGAGTGAAGCTGACACTTTATCAAGTATGTTATCTACAAGAGAAGGAACTGACCTTTACCAAGTTGTCTTGTGCCTTTCATATTAAACCCCCAAAATTTTTACATGACTGATAACGTACACAGAGAAAGTACATTAAAAGAAGTGAAAAACAAATCAGAAAGTGCAAGACAGTCTCACTTAAAGCTTACATGAACACAATGGCTCAGAGACAAGAGAATGACGACACAGACGCTGGCATATTAACAATGTGAATAAATACAAATTTAATATGAAGGCACAGGAAAAATATGAGACAACTAGAAAAAGTTGCTCAGAGTTTTATGTGTGGAAAACCAGAGGATAACTGCAGTTCTCTACTTCATCATATTTATTGGACTGGCAGCAGTAGTGTGTGAATAAGTGTCTTATTTCATGATCCAGGAATAGATGGTAGGTAGAGGAATTTTCTCCTTCTTCTATCAGTGCAGTATTTTTCCTGCAAGTATGATCATTAAACACTCGTATTCGTTTTCTACAATCCAACACCATAGATACTACAATGTCCTCAGAGAAAACATCATCAAGTTAATCTTACTAGATGGAATGTAAGCTCCCAAAAGCAGTATTACAAATTCTGACTGTTAAAATTCTGAGGTAGGGGTAAATAATCACCGTCAGTATTCTTACTGTTGTTTATTACACTCACTATGCTTGCCTCCTGTAGAGGCTTTAGAGGAAGATTTTAAAAATTCAACTCATGTGAACAAAGTTCTGTGCCTACAAAATCCATAGCAGAATGGTGGGGAGAAAGTTCTAATCAAATGAAGAAAATTAGTTTTAAATTCTGTGAACTAACTGTAGAATGATGGATGTGTCCTTGGTTTTCTTATTTCCAATTAAAAGCAGCCTCTGAAGCGACATGCTGCAAATAAAAAGATGTAATGGAATATTTAACATGTTTACTAAGGTATTTCTACTGCAAGATCTAGTTTTGGTTTGTTTTCAAGTTTCTAGCACTAAGTTAACTCTCTTGAAAAGGAAATGGGCACCCACGACCCTCCGCAACTGTTTCTGTCCCCAGGGTTGACCATATTATTAATAGTGGCAGATATCTACTTTCGGAGCAGCGAGGCTCCTCTTTAAGAGCTGATCTGCCAGCCAGTCATAGGGAACAGTTTCCCCATGCTCTCACTTTCTTTTACATAAATTCATGCAGTAATTCCTACAATAAGCTCATTACATACTACCATATCACCCAAGCCTTGGCCATGGATCTTGACATCTCTGGGGCAATGATTTACAGAACAAAAGTCTGTGCTATTCTACAGATAAAAATGTTTTGGACATATGTCTCTAGGTGCTTGCATACTTACATTTATGTCACAAAATCATGAAAGAACTATTCATTTAAAACGCATGAAAATTAATTTGGAATTGCCGTCTCCGTAACAGCGCTTAACTAAAATACCTTTTAGGTATTAACGAGTGGGGGTTCTTCTTTCTTTCTTTGTTTTGGGGTTTGTTTTTTTCTTTGTTTTAAATTGCCAAGCTCTTAAGTTGTCGATCATTGTATCAGAAGAGGATTTCTACCTTAACAGACGAAGCAAACAGGTTAAGTATTACACACATTCACTCCTTTGCAGGTACTACATACACTATTCAGCAACAAGAGTGAGCAGTGACTAGTTTGGTTTACCTTGGCAAGTGATTTGACTTATAGCAGTATAATACAATGTTTAATTACAAATAATAAAATGATATTTGGATCCTTCTCCATCCCAAAATCATATGCAATCAAGGGTTAAGCCATAAGTATAAACATCACTGCTGACTGCGTTTAAGA